CATTTACATCCTATCGGACTGTCCGATTTTTTCGGTCTCCACTTATTCACCGGCGACAAGATCCCGTCCGACGGCAAGAATTTCGCAGCAAAAAGAGAAATGAAATTTTCAAGATGGGTCGAGATGGTCTCAAGGCCATTTTGTCAATTATTTCGACACTGCCATCTCGATCGGTGGCGCAACGGTGGAGCATATATCTGGTTAATTACTCCAGGCTACTGCAGAAAACTTTGTTTTGTTTTGGTGCGCTTTTCTCGGATTTGCCAACTGATTGGTAATTTATTATGCTCATTATGTATATTATAGCATTGTTGTTGTTGTGAAATGATATTATCTCTTTAAAGAAGGATTCTCAGTCAAAGTATACGTTGGTTTAAGGTCCCCAAGCACATACCGTATTGTTTAATTATGTACTGTTCAATCAAACTTTTATTACAAATGCAGACTTTTCACATAGGTTGATACGTCACACCAATCCATCCTTGGGACAAACTACTATTCAATCCAGAACGAATCGTCAAAAACGAAAACACTTGGCTGCAGTGCAACTCAAAAGCTGTCCAGTATGTTCCCAAAAACCAAGATGCGACGAAAATTCCTCTTTATTGTTGTGAATCCATGACGTCCTATCTTGTAGTTAACCTCCAAAAATAGGTGCAGATCGCACAATTTTTATTTCAATTGGAGTTCCGTCATATAGGGAGAATGGAGTCGTTTGATTGGCTGATTCAAGCGACCTCATGACTTTGGGTACAGTTTCTTAACTGGGCTACCCAAATACTTATTGAAAACTTCGAATCGATTGGTGAACCTTCATTCGATATTTTCATTATCAACAAGCTTGGTAAGTTATTATTTAATCTAGGTTCATTTTATAATTGATATTGTAAAAAATTTCGCATATATGCATCTGGCATCTGTCACTGTTGGATTTCGTTCAACGCTTGGTTTGAACATAACCTAAAATGTAGTATTTGAAGATGAATTACAAGTGGGCCTAACATGTTTAAAAATAATGAAATTAATGAACGTGGTTGTGAATATATGTGTAGACCAGAATAAATAGCAGAAACTGCAAAACATGTTTCATTAAACCTGTAACCTGAATAATCAAGGAAAAAGTATGAACGAGCATACGAACTGTTTTCCTCTTTGGTGCGTAAGTAAGAAAGTTACAATTTTCAGAATATTTTGTATTGGCATATTTTGCAGAAAAAACTACTTTTCTATTCCGTTTATACGTGGTTTATACTGATTATTACTGTTTATACGTGTACTCTTGAAAATAAGTAACACTTAAAGATACTACGACTACAATCAGCTGATGCAGCATTTCCAATTCCGCTCATCGCTTGGGTTTAACCTAACCTAAAAACGTGTAGTATAGTGTTTGAAAGACTAATTATTTATATGCTTTACAGTGACTGTAAGAAAAATATAATGTGTAACACGAGCGCAAATGGCCTTTGCTGCACTCGAAATAAGTTCCGCACGAGCCGCTCTCTCGTGTGCAGCAAAGTGCCAATTTGTTCACTAGTTACACAAATAACTATTTCCTAAATTGTGAAGACTTACAAAATTCTAATTTTACCTTACCCAACTTGTATTAAAAGGACTTTGAGAAACGAAAATAGATTCTAACCAAATCATTATATTCAAGAAAATAAAGTATTATAATTTTCTTTCTTATTCCTGAACAACTTTAAAATCCACTGCCACTCTCCTGACTTCAGCATGCGTTAGACTCTCGTTTATAAAAGAAAGCCCCTTTGGTAGTATTTATAATTTCACCATCACCTCCGTTTCTCAACCTCTCGCCATCTACATTGCCTCAAGTGTTTGACATTCAGTCTGCCGATGCAGTCTGTCGTTGATAACAAATCTTTGGACAGTTTCCACTGCTTTCGTTCGACTTGGTTTTAATATTCTCTCTTCTGTCACTTGGTAAAACCAAGCGCCGCTTGCCTACCAAATGATTCCGTTGCGCATTGGGTTTTCCCTAGTTTCTATTTTATTTTTAGTACTTCTACAATGTATTTAGTTTCTAGAAAAGTTACTGTGATCAAAGTAAAAATACCCACTAAGCATCAGTAATTTCATCGCGCGTGTCATTGTATTATCAGCGGAAATGAAATTATATGAAAAATCTACTCGTATTTTTGAATAAAGCAATGTTTGGGATAGGAATTTCTTCACACTTCTCTCCCTCATTTATTTACTATAGCATTTCAAAATATTTTTTTTTAATTTTTCATCGTTTACGTTTTTTGGTCTGATGAAAGTTTTATATCACTCCTATAGTTCCATCTCCAAACATCGTAATGTGTCCCAACTATCTTGCACTTCTTCATGATTTTCTTATCATAAAATTTGCAACAACAAATACATACAACGACACTATAAGTAGTTAACTTTGTTAAGAAACTCAAGGAGGAACTAATGATTTTCAATTTATATTAATTCCACTGTTGATGTATCTGGGCAATTTTGAGATAAAAATATAGCTATTTTAAACTAAACTTGATCAGATTTTTTAGGAAAGCAAACAATTTTGTTGTCCAAAAAGTTTTCAACACGGTTAAACGTCTTAACATTCTTCAACCGACCTTTCGTAACATCAAAGTTGAAATTAAGTAAATATAGCATAAATCCTTTTCTTTCTGTCCACCAGACAACTAGACTTTGCTAAATAGCCATCACGTAGGCAGAATCCCTCTGTAGTGGACAAGGATGAATAAGGACAGCAACCTGAGGTGCAGAGATAAATCCTGGTCCCGAAGGATCAGCTGATTTTTTATGCGGCGGCGTCACGATCACGTACAAATCGCCAGTCGCTGCCTCGCTACCGCCCTCCTTTTGTTTCGGCGGGACCAGGGGCGTGACGTCACTACCGCGTCGTATTGTGATTCTTGCTGAAACGTTAGTCAGCATTGCATATCTGCTGAATTACAGAATCATATTTCTTGCCGTGAAAAAATTACAAAATACGATAATGGGTTTTATTTGTTGTAATGTTCTATGCGAAGTCATTGGAGTGTATTACCATTTTCTTCATTTGCTCATTGAAATATGGATGCTGCGTATTTTAACTTGAATATGAGTAAAGTTTAGTGTAGAATTGATCTATTGGATAAGTGTGGAATAGATACTTAAGAGGAGCTTCATTCATACAGGACCAGCTGTATTTTTCATCCAGAATCATTCACCAAAAGTCTAAAGATGAAGGGAAGCTACGTCCAGTTTCCAGCTTAGACTACTACTGAGTTTTATCAGGATTGAACCGACAACCCTCTTCTCCACTGTTGTAAACACTCATTTGTCCATATTTCACAAACCACCTACAAGACTTTCGGAAAAAACATAAACGTTCATGTCAATTTTCAACCTTAGCCTTACATGATCCGGGCAGTTTTGTGATATCTCGTATTTAGATTACTTGTACAGTACTCTTCTACTACTAGATCAATAACGTTACAACTCAAGGATGTCCAGTAAAAAGGATTCTTTGCATGCATGTAGTTTTTTTCATCAAAGAATAAGAATTACATTGTGCATTTAACCTAGCAATGTATTTTTGTCCTACTCCGATCTTGAAAATGTGACAGAAATAATTAAACCCATTGAGTAATTTAATAATATTCATAAAAACATGTAATCGAACTTTTAACTAGAAAGAAAACAAAATGTTGAACAAAGGGTTGAAAATGTGACAAAATAATTTCGTTATACTCTCGATGACAAACTTAGACAGAAACAATCGCCGCAAGAGCAGGTTAGAGGTTGAATGAGTCGCAGGTAGGTGGAGTTGGGGGTTGGGTGCAGATAGCTATCTCATCATAGTAACCTCATCTCAATGGGAACCCCGACTTTATTCACTCAGTCCTCTTTTAAAACCCAATAAATAAACCCACCGCGATGACAGTTATACCCCTAACCTCTCCGGAACTTTTAATGTGTTTTCGATGCGACATCTTGATTATAGTGAAGGATAACCCTCGTTTCCCACTCCCTTCATCCTTCGCGCCTTCTTTTTCCTTTTGGCCGGACATCGAAACTCTGTTCGACGCTTGTACGTCGCACCGTATAAATTTATACTTTTTTCGTCACATTCACACGAGGAGGGGCTGGTTTATGGATGGCTTTGTCGATTTATTTCGCGCCTGGCGAGCTACGAAGACGGGTTTTTCAGTATGGAACTGCTAATTTAGCCGCTCAGATTGTTGTTTCCGAGGAAAAGAGACGGTGTGAGTGTTGAAGGAGAATAAAATAAGCATTTTGATGAAAATTGGATTTAGTGTTTTTTATAAATTTGCAATACGATGGGTTACAGAAAACCATTAAGCTGTCTTGAAAGCGTTACATTTATTAGGTGTTTACTATATCGATATTCAACCTATAAGAATGGTCTTTTAACTTGCATTTGTCTATGTATATATTATTTTGATAGGATGTCCGGTGTCAAAATCTTTGAATTTGTTATAGAGAATACTTGTTATTTGTTTGAGTGCCTCCTGTCCTAATTAACAAAGGCTATTTTGTTTTTGTTCGACATACACATCAAGAATGTCTATTTGTCTAGACCAGTAATAGTTGTTTTGACAAATCTGGACAATTTTTCTAAAGACAGGTATAAAATTGCACCTTAAAAATAAAATGTGTAATATGATAAAAACAATTATTCGTCTTCACAGTAAATTTAATAAGATAACTAATTGTGATCTAATGGTAGTTTCAAATGGATGTAGGTGTTTTTAGACGAAAATACAGCCCTCATAATCAACATAATCAAAGAGTTCTGGTTCGTTTTCTTAACCTACCACCCTTACATTAATTTCTAAGTTCTCAGTCCCTTAAATCTGGGAATACTTTGATTAGCAGCTTAATGATAAAAATCCCCTTCAAATACGTTTGAATAGAAGAGAGCTTATGCTTCATGTGCAAACTCAATGTTCTACAATTTAGAGCGATATCTAAATACTAAATAAGTTAAAGATTTTTACCTTGAACAGTTGAGGCCTTTTAACGCCGTCTAGGTAATCTGTATCCGCATTATTTTGCAGTCACGTTGGTCCTTCTTAGGGATCAGTAAGCTACACCCTTTAATCCCTGCAAAAGAATTTCATGTTAGAGAACGGCAGCAAAAACCTCCTATTGGGGCTGTTCAAGGACTTAAGAGTTGTAATTGTTACACATGTTCGCTCAATGGGAGGCCCTTTCAAAATCCAAGATCATTGATATGGGGATATGACGAAAAACATTAGGAACGTAACCGTAACTTTTCACTGATAAACATACTGGAGCTATTCTACGACTTTTCCTCTTCAGCCAAACGCATTTTTGTACAACTGTAAGTTCCATGGGAGTTTCTCCAAGGTCAGTGATGCGATGATATGACGATGTATTGTGAGGTCTGGTATGTTGCCAGTTGGACACCTGTAGGCATCTACCATAACAGTACCAGGTCCACGTTCACATGGGTTCGGTCAGTTGGCATGTTGGCGACGTCCGCGGGAAGGTTGAGGTCGAGGACGTTGCTGGCCATCGGCACACTTCCTGAGACTACTTGCAAATCTAATATAAACCAACAGTGACGTGATCTCTGGGCAAAATGTATTACCTACACAAATAGCTCATGGAATACACTGTACTTGCTTATCATTTAGCAAAACTGGAAGATTCTAATTATATTTTCAAAACTAATCATACCACACCCGATAGAATAAATATATTTCTTTCGATGGATGAAGACTAGACACAAAAAGGATTTGGGTGAATAGGCATTAAGCAGAACTACGCAAGCAAACACCTTATCAGTAAAACTTCGAAAAAAGCAAGAACGGTTCTATATAGTAAACTACCGGTACAGGAAAGAGCGGATTAAAAACTAGATACTACTGTAGATTGACAATCATGGAAGGGTAGACGTGTCTGAAGAAGATTATGTATACAGGAAGAGAAACATGCTACAGTACAGAAAAACACGAACGCCAAAAAAGAAAAAGACAGGAAAGAAGTGGACAGAAGAGATGTTGAAACACAGTGGATAAAAGAGATGAAAGAAGAAAATTATGAACGAGATAAAAAATTTGGGTTGGTTGAGTTTTAGCAATCTGCAACGATAGTAAACGGTCCCGGGGCTAGGTCTCACCATATGACATACGGTAAAAGCTTTTCATTATATGGAACATTTACTAAAACTGGCAAATTACAGACGGAAGTTGTTTATTACCGATTTACACAGAAACATTACAGTGTAAAAGTAATCATTGAATTCGAGATTATATTAACAGTGTTATACTAAGTAGAAGACCACATAGCATTCGAAAGCAATATCGATTTCTGAGCAGTCTCATATATATGTTTTGGGAATTATATACATTTGGATTTCCCTTTCCTAACATCAGCAGACGTTGACAAATTTATCGATCCAATAACAGAAATGGGCTGACGTGGTAACAATAGTAAACAGGGCCTTCTGGTTTGTGTCCTTCTGATCATCTGGCTTTTAACAAATACGTGAAAGCCACCAATGAGAAGCCAGGATGGCATCATAGACGGTACCATGTTGGTTATCGATGGTAATCCATTACTCAATTTTTACATTTTAATTTTTCAGATAGAATTTGAATTAGCTTATAACTTACATATGAAACGCTAAAACCCTAAAACAAACTAAGATGATAAAACGTGGATTCAAACAATAAAACTTCCAAGAGTAATTTTAAGCAATAAAAATATCTATAATCCCACACTCGTCCGGCCCAAAACTGAGGTATTTACAGTTCGGTTTGTGCGAGCGGGCCCCGCTAAGAGCCCATAAAAGGCCAGATTTAACAGCCGTTATAAAGGCATTTTGTTTATGGCCAGATATGCGTATCTGTATGCAGCCCAACAGCTATTATTTATTGAGGTTGTCTTTGGAGTTATGACGGCCGAGTTTGAGTTTTTGTCCCGCAGTTTTTGTGCCGGCCACTAATGGTCCTGGGCTGCAGGATTTGTCGAAAAGACACTTTTTAATCTTCACCGGTGGATACTTCTGGTATATTTGGAGAAATATTTATTTTACTAAGTTATAAAGATTGTATTTTTTTGACTTATGCACGAAACAGCTAAGATAAGTTTCGGTTTTGTGTAAATCAAAATTGAAATGAGGCTGAACAAATCTCATAAGCATATACTGAAATGGTTGCAGGGTGAAACATCTTCTGAGTGGTTTATTTTACAATACTTTTTTGCCCTCGGAGGACAAATATTCATTCAAATGAGATATTAAAATTATATGTAACTTTGGCATAGCACATTGTAAAAACGTTATCTGTGGTTTTGTAAGCTTCAAATACAGTGGAAACATTTTACTTTATTGTATAGAGTAGATTGATTAATAGTTTTTTTTGCTATAAAGGACATAATCACAAATAGGCAGTTTGGTACTAAACAAACGATAAACAAAATGGTTGTTACAAAGAGGTTTAGTTTTAAAATATCGTGATTCGTTGAATTTAGATAACGCGTTCATAGGACGACGATGCACCAGGGTTAAGATTAGTGAATGATGAGTGTTTAAATAATGAATGAGACTAAGATCAGCTGGTTCTTTAGTCAAGACGATAAATTTAAAAACAGATCAAGGTCACTTTGGTCCAGTTTCGAAACATCGAAAAAAATTTCAGACCACTACAAGAAAGGTTACTATGTTTTCATCTACCCAGCAAGTTTGTTGTAAGCCTAACTGAAACCACAGAGAAATCGCCTTCTCTACGTAGTAACAATTTCGCGAATCGTTTCAAAATTATTAAAGAAAAACTGATCCCTAACGACCAATTAGCCTCATATTTACGGTCCGAAGTAAGCACCGCCATTACGCCATATCGAAGAAATGTGGTAAATGATACATGTGCGAGCGACCAAGTAAAACATCGGCTCGAGCATTCCCGGACTGGGTCTATTAAAAATTATTGTGCGGCCGGAGAAATTAATACTGGACGGGAAATATCATTATTGTCGCAACTCGGGAAAAAAGAGGCCGAACGGATTCCGAGAGATCCGGATGAAAATACCGCCGCATTTCCGACGTATGTATTAGAGAACCACCCACCGTGATCGTATTAATGAGATATATCGACCGCCTTAGATATCGATTTGTAATCGATAATCGCTCGCAGTATAACGCCGGTCATACAAGTTGCTCGGTTTAAGTCTAATGTTTTTGCACTCGGCTAGAACAAAGTATCGACTCTGCTGGCGGTCCTGCTTAGCTTTCGGTTGTAAATAAGTTTCTTTTAGATTTACACTAACTTTATTCAATTTAGTAACTTTTTCTAAGATGCAATGTCTGCTTGTGCCCGTACACGAGTATGGACTAGGATTTACATTATGATGCCATAGTGAGGGACAGCTGCAGAAGGTATAAGAAAGCAATAGAGTTCCTTGCCGAGAGATGTCAGTACGACATCGACAGTTCGTTAGATGGGTAGTCAGTTATCAACAATATAGAGTTAACTTGGTCTAGGTCCAATTGTCGATGAAAATCAGCAAAGAAGTATTTCTTTTTGTTCTCCTGACTAGTTTCTTTTCTGGATTCCCAGTTTTTCTATTACTCTGGAAAGAGACCAAAGAGGTACAGACACAGGTAAAATAATAAAAATATCTAAAATTACCTGTTCTTCAACAACGGATAAAACAATGGACACCTTCTGTTAAACAATGGATAAAAAGTAAAATATGTTTTTGTATAATTAAAATAAGATCAATATGATATGGGCACGGATATGCTTGATTGTTGTTAGCTAACGTTCATGCTTGCTCGAAGTAATGCCCGCTAAAAAAGCCTAACTTTATTCTTTACAGGAAGGGCCAATTATTAATTTAAAATTAATATACAGTAGTCAAACAGGTTTAAATGTAATGTAATCAGTGACAAGTATTCTTACTGGATAAGGCCAGTTGTCTAATATATTATATTAAACATATTATATTTAAAGCCGTAAGATCAAGGGGCAGCTAGGGTTAAGAAATTATTCTATCAAAAACCTACTGACTTTTCTCAGGATCCAACCGGCAACCCTCAAACGGTCCGGTTACCCAGCTATGATTCGCTCTTTACAGATCAGTAGACAACATTTCCCACAACATCGGCATGTCCTGTCTATCCTGTGTGGTCCTTGGTCCTGTATGACTGATCCTCGGAGCCACTGACGCCATCAGAGGCATAACTTCTCCCAAGGCTCCGGTTTTTGCCGTCATATCGCTTACAAATTCAAAGAACCGCAGATTCATTTTGGCCCGGTTTCCAGAAATCGATTCACTCTAAATATTAATTTTGCTCAAAAACCCGTCCGGACAATTCTCAGTAATGTGTTCTTGTTAATAAAACAAAGTATGTACATTGTTACTTGTAAAGTAAGTTATGTGAACAGGGGAATAAGTAGGAGGACTAGATGAAGAAATAAGTAGCTGTTGTTTTTATGGGTTTTGAATATGCATGTAACAGTTGAAATTCAGTATGAATGAAAAGTTCAAACTAAAGTATTGGTTCAGGAGCGGATGAAACAACTTCCAATGAACTTATTGTGAAATAGAGGCTGAAATAACCCCGTGGCTACAGTTCTCGAAAGCACGAAGTTCGCTAGTTCAATCCTTGGAACTACGTAGCTCTTTGATTTTTGGTTGCCACTGATAATTATAAATAATTCTGAAATTATTATTGATAAATAATACTGACTAAATGAGCAGTTGATTTTAGTAGTAATAACGAAGAATTAGGTTAACTTAACATCATTCATTAATTTCTCGAAGCATTTGTTGTCCACTGAAGGATGATTGTCCAATACGGACATCAATACGTAGACAAAAGCCATTGATGTCTTAAACGGTTAGGAAATCACCATTAAATACTTCAATAAACACTACCAACCTAATATATTTACCTAATTTTAACAACGAACTGGTATGATCAGGTTTATGCTTGGGGACAATACATCGCTGCACCTTGGATCACTCGTCCAGGTTGGTAAGAAAGTGGGAACAAGTGTCTCAATTTGATTTGCCCATAAACGTGTGTTGTTGAAAGATTTTGTTGGTATGGTAATCCAATTCAATCAATTATT